TTCCACAATACTTGTACTATTTTACATTCTCACCAGCAATAAATAAGCCTTCCAGTTTCCCTAATCCTTGCCAATATTTGTTTTTTGTTTGTTTGCTGTTTTAAAAATCTTAGTCATCCTTAAACCAAAAAACCAACTCACTGCCATCAAATTGAGGGCAGCTTACAGCACACCTAGAGCCCAGAGTAGAACTGACCTGTGAGTTTCTGAGACTCACTCTTCAGGGAAGTAGAAAGTCCTTTCTCTCGTGGAGCGGTTGGTGGTTTTGAACTATCACCTTGTGGTTAGTAGCCCTACTAGTAGCCACGATGCCACCAGGGTTCCCTCGACAGCCTAGGGGGAGTGAGATGTCTGGTTACCACTTGAATATCCTCTTTAGTCTATTGTATGATGGCTTTATCCGTCTTTTTTACCAATCTAATTCATAATGGCACATTGGTTCTCAGAATGTGCACCCTAAGAGCTTATTTAAAACTCTAGTTCCTGCACCCCCTCACACCCTAGCTTCCCTGAGCCAGAAACTCAGGCCAAGGTCCTGCCATGTGTACTTTCACGAGCTTTCCTAGGTGCCAAGGCACACCATTCGAGTTCCAGAAACGATGTATCAGGATTTCCTCAAGGGCAACTAACAATAGATATTGGTAAAGATAAAAACAATTATTTGACTTATTAAGCCACTCCCTTTCTTCTGCTGCAAATTAACTACAAATCTTTGCCACAGTTGATTTATATGATCTCTCTTCTTTTCTTTTTTTTTAAGTGACAGTTAACACATATATCATGTCATTCCATAGTTCAACCACATCAAGCAGTATTGTACAATTCCTACCACAATCAGTTTCCAAATATTCTTTTTCTTCCTGAACTCCTTGACATCATCTCCCTTTTTACAACCCCTGCCCCAACACACACTGTAACACACACACACACATACACACACACACACAGAGTCCTGTTTTGTTTGGCATTTTGAAAACTATACTGTTTTCATTGATCCCGATCTAGTATCTTACTGATTTCAGCCTCTACTAGTTTCCCCTATCCCCTTGTAGTTTACTTTCAGGTGTTTTTGTTTTGCTTTTCAATTGGTTTCTTAACATTTCTTCTTTTCCTGTTATAATACATACAAGTTTTTCTGTAAGTCCCACTTCAGCTACTCATCCCATTTTATTTTACATCAATTCTATACCATGACATGATTCCATTATGATTTCTTCTTTGAGTTATTAGATATTTAGAAATGTGATTTTAAATGGTCAATTGCATGAATACTTCAATTTTCATATTGCTGTTGTTGACTTACATGTGTGTTTTGTTATGGTCTGTGGGAAATAGAGTCTCTGGTCCCTACTGAAACATCTGCTGTGCTTACAATACAGTCGATTTAAAAGATTTTTATGGCTTCCAGGCTGTAGTATCCTGCAGATGTCACCGGAACTAAGTGTGCCCCCCGTGCTGCTAGATGGTGCTATTATTTTTTTCTTTAACACTCCTGTATGTGTTAAAATCCTCCTCTAAGATGATAGTTTCGGTTTCTCTACAATTTTCTCAATTTTTATTTTGGAATTTGTTATACAGACTTTACAAGTCTTTAATTAGCCATTTCTAGTGAATCGTTTCTTTTCTCATGATCTTGCCTAATATTATTACTTTAGACCATGGCGACCTCCTGTGGTACAGAACAGAACTGCTCCGTGTGCTCTCTCGCTTTAATCTCTGCAGAAGCAGAGACACCTGCCATCCGTTCCTCTCACGGCTCCTCTGCTGGGGGCAAACCACCAACTGTGAGGGCAGACACAGGGAGCTTGAGTCAAAATTGAATCAACAGCAACAGCCTTAAAATAGAGTTCTCAAATGATCTCTCCTTGGATAATTATCCTAGCACGTGTTTTTTCCTCACCCTTCTGATAGATTATTTTCATATCTTCAGCTGTGTAGTTTGTTTTGTTTTGCTTCTTTTAGCTTCCCAACTCCTCTCTCCATTTAGTCCCTGGTAACCACAATCTCCTTTTGCCTCAATGAATTAGCCTATTCTAGATATTTCATATACGTGAAATCAGACAATATTTGTCTTTTAGGGTCAAGATACATATATTTTCATCCAACATGAAAATATTCTTTTTCAGGTTTGATGTACTTAAACATTTTATGATATAATGCATTCTATTTTCCTATGCTTATAACACTAATGTCAATCTAAGGCAGAATCAATGATGATCATTCTCCAGGTACCAGTACCAAGCTCATTTATAACATCTATAAGGGAGCCTCCTATATCAGAATTTAGGCTGCTCGTGACAGCAAGAACAATGGAACATGTAGAACCTGTGGTTATGTTACTATAGTAACACAGTTGCAGAAGAAACAGAACAACAACAAAAATTATAATAAAATAGCTTTTAAAAAATCACTTTGGATACTGTTACTATAGTTTCAATGAAAAAAAAATTTTCCCCTCAAGATTCAAAGATTCATTTATGTATGTTGGCTTTCATCTGTCAGTTGCCTGTGCTCCACCGTATTCCCAATCAACCTGGTGATGGTGAGCCTAGGAAACCCTGTTTTAAACCACAGCATGAAGGCGGATGGTATCAATGGTATAGATGCATTTGAACACTCGGCGCTAAGTCCATCTGCTCCATAGACTTAGTGCAAGTTGTTAACTGACCTCTTGCTGTTGTCGTTAGGTGCCATCGAGTCAGCTCTGACCCACAGCGACCCTCTGCACAATAGACCAAAATGCTGCACGGCCCTGTGCCGTCCTCACCAGTGTTCCCATGCCCGAGCCCATTGATGCAGCCGCTGTGCCAAGCCATCTCCTTGAGAGCCTTCCTCTCTTTCACTGCCCTTCCACTTTACCAGACATGCTGTCCTTCTCCAGGGACTGGTCTCTCTCAACCACGTGTCCAAGGATGTCAGATGAAGTTTTTCCCTCCTTGCCTTTAGGGAGCACTCTGACTGTACTTCTTCCAACACAGATTGGTTTGTCCTTTGACATAGAACTTTCAATATTCCTCTCCAGCCGCACCATCGATCACAGCTGACTTCTTAGTGGTCATAAAATGTTGATAACCATGTGTGGCAACTTGAAAAATTAAGAACAACTTTTTAAGGTTAATTTAGAGGGATATTCATTCATCAGTCATTACCAAACCAGTAATGTGCCATTTGTGTTTAAGTG